GTGACGTCATTTGAAATAGCACGAGCGCTGTCTCTCGCGCGTGCGAGATGGGTAGGCCTATATGTCGCACGCTCTCTCTCTCTTGTAAATGAAACATTTACGCCAGTGCATATACCAGAGAAAAAAAAAATATTGAAGTAAAATTATAATCAATTGCCGGGTCTGATGGGCCCCGTCATGGCTTCTTGTTTGTTACAAGAAGCAAGGTCTCATCAAAGTCAGTGTTCTCTTAAAGGTGCTGTATGTAAGTTTTTGACTCTACTAAAGCATAAAAATACCATAATAAGTTTGCAGATATTTAAGAAACATGCTAAGTTAACATACTTGTTTATCTGAAAAACAATGCTACAGTCAGTTATTCTCCTTTGAATATCCTTTGAATTGTATTTCGGCAGCCCAGGTTGCCAGTTGGCGGAAAACACAGCGTATTTCATTTCATTCATCGTCAAGTGCGCTCGTTCCTGTTGGTGTCGTCAATCTGGCAACCTGCGTGTGTCAAGTCTGAGGAGGAGGGGCAGGGTGAAAATGACCCTCTCCAATATTTTGAATTTGGACTGCAATGCCTAGTTCAACCACTCGGTGTCAATCCTACATACAGCACCTTTAAGGACTGCGTTCATATTATTTTATTTGGGTCCAAACCGCGGTTCGTTTGCGTCATCAAGCCAGCAGCTGTTTACCCCGTTGCTTAGTAACGACGGCGCAGGAGAAGACGGTAAAACTCCTCATTTTTATATATTTATGTTTTTGAACCATTGGTTTTGTTTCCAAAGCTTCAGTACATAATGGCGCTTACGTCTGTCTTACGATGTACTGCAAATGATCTAAAGAACGCTCGTCAGGAAAGTGAGTGAAGCACAAACACACACACACATTTTTATCAAATAATACGTCACTAATAGCAGTTCACTTCTGCGATTTAGTACGATTGCATTCACATCAGCAACGAACTGTACCGGAGTTCACTTGAACTGTACCCCAGACCACCCTTTTTAAGCAGACTCGGGTACAGTTCGCGGGTGCGCACCCGAGTTCGGAAGACGACGGTCACATCATCCAAACGT